GGATGCTGATGTGCTTACAGAATCAAAGGGAGAATAGGCTGGTGGCCTCCGCTTTCCCTGTGGGACAGGAGGCAAGAGAAGGAAGAGAGCATGGGGAAGGTCTGGAATAAATACCATAGGCAAGGAGAAGGGAGCTGCCCAAGGAGGAGCGAAAGGATTTATTTATGCCTGCAGGGCCAGTGGAGACTGAAGAAGAATTCTGGGGAGTGTTCAGGCCCAGCAGTGAAGCTCTGGGCTGGAGCTTTTCCATGAGGCAGGCTTGTGCGGCTGAGAATGGACACGTTCCCGCATGTGGGTGGGAAAGATTGCTATGTTCTTCAAGGACTAGAAATAAAAATTTTGAAAAAAAACTTTAAAGGTGAAAACTTCATGAATACTAGAGAAGGTTTACACATAGGCTTTTAATGGAAAAAAGTCTCACCGGTTAAATGGAATACACAGTGCTTAGGCATCATGCAAACTCACAGAACTTGTGGCATGCACATTTGATTTTGGCTGTAGATAGAGTTACATACTTGGGGGGGGGTGTTCCCTATTATTATTATGGGATGTCTTTGGAACCAGGTGGGTGAGGGATTCATGAGGAAGATGGGAAAAGAGTCTGCATTTCTCTAGAATTGTATCAACTGTGGAGGCAGCAGCTAGAAAGAGCCACGTCAGACTCCGGGCTTGTCAGCGCCTACTCAACGTGATATATTTTAACGTTTTTCTCAGCACGAGCTTGACTTTAACAATGAATCCAGAAAAAGGGGGAAGTGATAATAAATCACAAACTATAAAAACCAACAGAGATTTCTTCTGACCCCGCCGCCGTAGCTCTTCCATCCCGCCGGCCTGTCATGATACACTAACTGAAAACACTTAGAGGGAAGATGCTGATGCAGCTATACCCTAGAGGCCAAAGGCACGGGAGCCTTTCAGAAACCCCCTGGCATCTTCCTTGTCAAGAGTCATGGCTGCTGCACTGGACAAGAGTGGGGGGATTGGGGGAACGAATAGGGGAGAGCGAAGTGGTGGCAGCCAGGCGGGGCAGAGTGGAAGAGCGGTCACATCAGGCTTTGAATGGCAAACGGTTCTGCCCAGGCCTGGTGGAGGGAGAGGTGAGGGAAAGTCTGGAGAGAGCCACTGGGGTCTCATCTACGGGAAAGGCATTTTAATAATTAACAAATGGGAAAAGGCATGGAGCCAGTAATGTGACCCTAGCATTTTGAAACTATGCCTGGGGAGCCTGCAGCCACATTACAGGCTCCCCAGCCAGGGAAGGCTGAGAAACCTCGGAAAACACAAGGAACTGTTTTAACCAAATGAAACTTACAAGCAGGTCAATTTAAGACACATTTGATGAGAGCCATGATTCAACACTGGATATATGGGAGGCACAAATGGAAAACAGTTCTTATAAATTACTGAAATTAGCAAGTCAGAGACAAACATCATTTTAATTTTTCTCTTCTCACTTTATCAATACCCCTCCAATAGCTGTCATCAACACAATATTGAGTTTTCCTGTTTCCCTATATTGACTGAAATAATCAGACACACACTCTCATGTGTAAAAAGACAAAGATACTTTGCCCAAGGATACTTTTTTCAACCCGACCTTCATGTCCTTCCACAGTTCAAGATACCTGGAGTATTTTTTTCTTTTAATGCAACTAAATGCTGTATCAAGTTCTTTGGAGGCAGGGAGGTGGTGTAAGGAAAAGAGGATTGTTTCCATCCCCACTCTGCTCTTTATTGGCTGTATGATGTTGGACACCTTAACTGGTCTTTCGAAGCCATGAGTCATCTAAGTGAAGATGTTAAACAGCCAGCAGGAGAGGTGGGGAAGGACCAGCAGTGAGGTAGAAGGAAACCAAGGAGAGTGTGACACAGAAGCCAAGGGAAGAAAGTGTGTTTAGAAAGAGGGAGTGGTCAACCACGTTGCAAGTTGCTGCAAAGGTGGGTAGGAGAAGTTTCCATTCCTCTGGCAACGTGAAACCAAGACTTCTAAATTGTTCTTGGTCCCTCATTTGAAGACCATGGGGTATCTTAAAAGCAAGAAAGAAAAAATATAGCATCTTTGACTACTGTATTGTTTTAAGAGACTTCTTTCCCAAGGTCTTATTTGTGTACTAAAACAAAAATCGGAGAACAAATTTTTACAACTCTGGTTCTTCCTTTCACTGTCAGTCATTTCTAGGTTCTCTGAGCCCATTTAAGGGAGAATTCTAAGGGATGGGAATAAACTAAACCTAGACTATATAATTTGGGGCAGGTTCAGAAACATTTCCTCTTCATTGTAAGTGCATCTGATAACAATATTTTCCATACTGATGTGCAACAAATCTTTCAAATGCACTCATTTCATGGTTAGCCTAAATTTAGGCAAACACAATTTCTGAATACTAAGAAAAAGAAAAACAAATGCCATAATAAGCCTTTTAGCACAAGCTCTAAAAATAGCGTATTCCTTCTCCCGGCTCCACACACAAAGGAAAAGCTCTTGGACATCAGAAGCTCCACGAACCCCAGAGACAAGGCTCTCCACTCATGTGCACTGACTTCCCAGGGTCCATCTGACTGCTTATAAGTTGGGAACACGTTTCACCAACTGTTGTTAATTATAGTGTCCTTACCCGAACCGACGGTCTATGGTCATAGAGAACTGGGGGCATCAAAGGGACTTAGAGACTTGGAGAGTGGGGAAACTGAGTCTTGAGAGCCGGCAGGATCGGCCCAGTTATACAGCTCACACATAAGCTTGTTCCTGCATCAGCCACCTTAAAACAAACCTCCCTGACCCTCATTTCCCTCCCCTCCCAGCACAACTTCTCTCACAAAGTCCACACTAAACGTCTCTGCTTCCAGATCTCCCATTCACTCCTCTACCCACTTCAGTCAGGCTCCCTTCTCCACAGCTCATGAATTAATGCCTGCACGTCAAGGTCACCAATACCTTTCATGCGGTCCGCCCGAAGGTCACTTCTCTCCCCCCCTTTTACACACCCCTCAGCAGCATCCGGCATTTCCTTTCCTGACTCCCATGACTCCCGGCACCGGGGTTTTCTCCGCACTGATTTCCCCAGCTCCTCCACGGGCCCCTCATCTTCCTCTCAACCTCTTCTCTCACTTTCCTCTCTAGCTGGTCACTTCAACGTGCTCAGAATTTTAAGTATCCATAGGCTGAATGTTCCAGTCTCTCCAATGAGCTCCTAACTTGTAAACCTCACTGAGTTTTCAATATTGAATATCTATTTGGCATGTCAAACTTGACACATGCAAAACTGAAATCTTTATTCTTCCCTCCAAAGCCTGCCCCTCCCAAAGTCTTTACCGTCTCCCCAAATGGCATCACCACCTGTCTACTCAGCCACTCTGGTCAAAAGCCTCGAAGTCATTCTGGACACTTTCAATTTCCTTTTCTCCACATTCAACAGACCAAAGATCTGCCAGTGCCACTGCCAACGCATGTCTTAAATAGGTCTGCTTCTTGTGTCCGCCCTGCCACAACCAGGACCTCTAATGTGGACTACTACAACCTTCTAACCCTTCTCCTGGCTTTCTGTCTGCTGCCTGCAAGCACAAGACAGATAAGGAACCCTTCCGTGCTGAAGGCCCTGGGGCAGCTTCCATCGCGCTCAGGGTAAGGCTGGATGATCTAGCTCCTGCCTGCCTCTCCCCGCCCTTCTAACCACACTGCCTTCCTTTCTGCCCCTCGAGCACCAGCATGGCAAGCCCTTTCCCGCCTCAGGCCTTGATGCTCTTCAGAGGGGCATTCCCCAGCCTCTTTACTGTAAATCTCGGCGTTCCCTTCACAGAACTTCTCACCACCTGTAACTAGCTGTGCCTACAAGAGAGTCCCTGCTACGTGAAAGTTCCATGAGAGCAGGGACCCTGTCCACGTTGGCGGTGGGTGTAGCCATCCCACTGGCTGAGTGAACGGATGCTTGCACAGTGGCGCTGGGTGGGGAAGACAGGGCTCCCGGCTCCGGCTTTCCTAAACAATGGATGAGTCAGCAGACGCCAGCGGTTAGCGTGCGAGAGAGGACTTCTCCGTGGGAAGCTGCCGTGCCGCACAAAGGACTGGCGAGCCTCGCTGGGGTCAGGCTGGGCTCGGCATTCCCCTCAGACTTTGGCCTCAGTGGGCAGTCCTACGGAGAGGGGTGTTTATTTAAAAACAAACAACAACAGGACGGGTCCAGGCAGGCTTCTACCCAGGCGGTAGACTGGCCTTCAGAGCTGCCATCTAAAATGAGGGGTGATTCCCGGATGGCTGCCTTCCCACCTGTCTGATGGCAGATTCCAAAGGCTTGGCTCCAGTCAAGAGGGGACAGGATGAAAGCATCTGTTGCCATAGCAATCACAGTGCTCCTGGGGCCGAGGCTCAAGCTTTCAGATAAACAACTATTTACGGAAGTGGAGAAAAAACAAGCAAACAGAGAGGGACAAAAAAAATGGGAAAATGGCAAGAAGTAATCCTACCAGTGCTGCAAGAAACGCTCTGAAAATACAACACAGGAGCTGAGAGTAGAATCCTCCCACCAGCACAGGAGTGGCCTCCTGCCGGGACACATCCGGAACAAAAGGCCCCATTGACACAAACATCTGTTACTACTAAACACTTAGGAATCAATATTTTCTTAAAGGTTTTTTTTTTTCCTTTTGGCTTTAAAGAGTTACTGTCTGCCAGGCCACCAGACCCTAACCTTCTCCAAGTCCACAGCCACCACATAAAGTAACTATTAGAACTTCAAATGAAGAATTTGGTCCCGGAAATGGCCTTGTGCTAGTTTTTTCCTGAACAGAGACACCAGGAAAATGTCAGAAGGCAAATCCAAACCCACACCCTGAAAGACTTAAAACATAACAATCACATCCCTGGGAAGATGAGTAATCTAGCCCAATTTAATTTAAAAAGGAAACACAGCAGATTTAAGAGATGGCCTGGACGTGCCTTGCAGGAAAGGAGGAGCGTGATGGGGAGGACCGGAAGGTAACGGGATCACGTAGTGCTTTACCTCAACACCTGCATATCCTCCGGGGAGTTCCGCACCTCGTCCTGGAGGCGACGCCAGCGCAGGCAAGCCCTCAGCTCCCGCTGCTCCTGGGCCTCGTGGGGGGCCAGCTGCTTGGAGCACAGACACACAAACACAAATGCTCAGGACACAGTCACTGTCGTCTTCCCGCGGAGTCGGAGCCACCACTGGAGCAGCTGGCTTTGTTTCAGGGGGGATGGCACAGACAGTCCCCGCCGCACCTTGCGCTCCATCAGAAAGGGCCTCTTAGGTCCTCAAACAAAGAACCAGCCCTCACTCCTGCGCTGCCTGTTTGGGAGGTGCCTCCTGGCCCCGGAACCTCCCCCTGCCCCCTCACCTCCACCCCTGGCCTGGAAAGAGCAGACCTCCCTAGGGAGCCATTTCCACTCTGATCCCATCCAGCCTTTTCCTGCTTTGTCTTCTTGCACAGGGTGGGAAAGGTCCCCTCCATTTACCTCCTACTTTTTCCAGCCCTCAGTTTTGTTAAGGGCTGTTTACAGTGCAGCCAGCTAATGCAACCCAGATGATTCTGTTTGCATATAACCAGAAAGAGTGCACTGCCTGGACTCACTCTTGGGGAGGGGAAGGCCATCACACCCTGCCCTACTGGTCAGAATTGGCTCCTGTCACTCGATGTGCTCACAAGGCCCCATGGCTGTAACCCCACAAGGGAGGGCAGCAGAGCATCCACTGTGGAGGGAACTGTCAGTGTCTACAGGCATTTCTGGGAATTAAAGGTCCCTAATAGTTCCCTCAACAGATACTTACTGATTCTCTGCTAGGCCCTGAGGACATAATGGACACAGCTCTGAACGTGAGGAGTCCAGGGAGACAGATAAGCACAGTAACCATCAGAATTCAGTGATGGCAGAGGTTAAGGAAGAACCCAGATGCCACCTGGCCAACCAGGGTGGTCAGAAGGCTTTCCTGAAGAGGTGTTCCCCAGGGAAAGCAGGAGCCAGCCAGGGGAGGAGGAATTTCAGGAAGCTGGAAAGCATGTACAAAGCTCGTGGGGCCTGGCAAGAGTGTGAAATGTTTTAAAAATGGTGAGGGTTAGGGTCAGGCAGGGAGCAGGCTGCCAGCCAGGGAGGGACAGAGGTGCCAAGTAGCTGGCAGAGGCCAGGTGATCAAGACACTCTGTGTGTCCTGTTGTCGTGGACTGAGTTGTGTTGTCCCCTTCCCCAACAAAAATCATGTGTTGAAGCCCTAATCACAGCTGTGACTGTATTTGGAGATAGGGCCTTTAAGGAGGTAATTAAGGTTAAATGAGTTCAAAAGGATGGGGCCCTAATCTAATAGGGTTGGTGTCTTTATAGTAAGAGGAAGAGACACTAAAACTCTCTCTCCATGTGTGCACTGAGGAAAGGCCATGTGAGGACACAGTGAGAAGATGGCCCTTCCCAAGCCAGGGAAGAGAGGCCTCACCAGAAACCAAGCCTGTCAGCACCTTGGTCTTGGATTTCCAACCTCCCAAACTGCGAGAAAAACAAGTGTCTGTTGTTTAAGTCTCCTGGTCTGTGGTACTTTGTCATGGCAGACCAAGCTGACTATGACAGCTGTGAAGGAGTTTAGACTTTGTCCAAGTTGATGACAAGTTATACGATTCAACTTGCCACTAACTCAATTCACCTCTCCCTACAGAATGCCACTCTGAGAGGAATGTGGGTTTCTATCTCCTAGTTCAAAGATTTCTCACTCTGCTTTGCTGTACTTGCTAACGCTCGGTGCTGCACAATGCAGTCTCCTGGGCAGCAAAGCAACACGGCACCCTCACGCCCTGTTCAGTGATGAAATGACCTGCTGACTGGGAGTCCCGTGAGGTGGCCCACCCTTTCCTGCCCCAAGGAGCACTCCTCTCCTGCTTGGGAGGCTTGCTGTGAACACTTGTCAGGGACCATCGGCAGCTCAGTCTAACTCAACCTTCAAGGAAGGGGCCAGAGCAATGGATGTACTCTGGAAATGTTTCCAAACTTTGTGCTGGTTCTAGAATGGCCACTTCACTTCAGGGGTGTCCATGTTTTCACATATTGAAGACTTACTGCGTGTACCTTAAAGGATGATGAGGTGGATTGCCCCCTACTCCAGGTTAAGGGAAAAGGAGGGATAGAGAAACTTCAACTCCTACTTGCCCTTTGAGACCCACAAGAAGTCACCTCCTCCAAGAAGGCTTTCTGGATTTTCTCATACCCAGCCTCTTCCACCTGTGAACTCCCACAATATTTGGTGTTTACCTCTCTTTTCTAACTTATTTTCTTCTTCCTTCTACTGTGTGCTTTCCTTATCTTCAAAATTAGACTCTGACCTCTTTCAGAGCAGCGTTGTAGTCTTCTCCTTTTATCCCTACAGATCTAGCACAGAATGGACACATGGAAGTTGTGCAGTTGTGAGATGCAGCCAGGCCAGCGTCGTGCCTTTTTTGGTAGAGAAAGATGTAAGGTAGGGCAGCTGGAGGGAGGACACAAGCAAAGAGATTCCAGGAGGTACAGGCAAGGGGAAGGATAAAGGGGGAGCGTTCTTTGGGGATTCAGGAGATAAAGGACGGAGAGGTGATCATCAGATGCCTGACATACACTCAGGATTATGAAGAATAGCATAAATCTGATTGTCTCAGGATGGAAGTACCTCAGGGAAGTGATGGTGAAAGAGGCACATTTACACTAAACCTATTTAGTCCTGGCTGAATGCCTACTATGTGCAAGGTGGTGGCAAAATCAAAGAGGAAGGGAACAAGAAAGGAGAACTGGTATTTCTTGAACACCCTCCACGTGTCAGGCACTGTGTTAAGCTCATTCACACACTATCCCTTTCACTCTGCAAGGTTAAGCATTCCTATACCCATTTTATAAATGAGGAAACTGAGGCTCAGGGAGGCTACATAACCTACTGTAAACAGCAAAGCTGGGATTCCAAGTCCGGTCCGACTCCAAACCCAGCCCCTTTGCTCGAGAACCTTCCAGGTGGCCTCTCTCCACAGGATTCTGTGTGGAGGGGGACACAACCACGCACGCTGCTAGCTCTACAGCCAAGGTGTGAAAGGGGGAGGATGAGTAAGACACAGTGCCACTTTGAAAGGGGTCACAGTCTAGTCGTGATGATAGAGAGAAGAAGAAAAAAGTGAGAAAAAACAGGTGAGTAAGTACAGATGCAGTGGAAATCCAAAGTTTCTAGAAGAGTATTATTGAACTGTGAGCGAGATGAACAGTCTGGGCTATCAAGGGAAGGTGACCTTGAGCTGCTAGTGAAAGATAAATAGGATTTCAACAGGCAGAAGGAACTTGGACAAAATCATGCAGATATGCACAAACTTGGGAATTTCAGAAAAAGTCAAGTAGTCCAGGGTGTAGAGATGGTAGGGAACAGAAGTAGCCAAATGTGAGAAATTAGAAAATAAGCAGGAAGCCGGTTAGCTGCCATATCTTCCTTATTGCTGGTGGCTAATTCTTTAAAGTTGAGGTTGTAAAAAACAATAAAAAACAAAGCCCACAGATCCATAGAACGGACTGGTGGTTGCCAGAGACAGGGGTCAGAAAGTGGGAGAAGTGGGTGAAGGGGTCAAAACGTACCATCTTCCAGATTTAAAATAAACAAGTCTTGGGGATGTAATATACAGAAAGGTGACTATAGTCAATAACACAGTATTGCATTTTTGGAAGTGTTGAGAGTAGATCTTAAAGTTTTCATCACAAGAAAAAAAATTGTAACTATGTAAGGTGACTAATGTTAACTAGACTTGTTATAATTTCACAGTGTATACAAACATAGAATTATTATGTTGTACACCCAAGACTAGTGTAAGGTTATAGGTCAATTTTACCTAAATTTAAAAAATTTTTTAAATAAAAATAAAGTTAAAAAAAAAAAGTTGAGGTTGCAAACTGGGAGTGTGTTGACTAGGTCTGGCCTCAGTGTATGTTTGGTTTGCATATTTTTTAAATTAGTACATTTCACATAAAAATCCAGAGTCATAATTTCCTTTAAAAAACTAGAAGTCCAGGTTGTATTGGGCCCTCCTTTCAGCATGACAGCAATCGGTTAGAGCTGAGGAGAAGCTTCCGGTTTGCCACAGTCCTTACCATTCCCGAATCTATAACACCAACTGCTTCATTCTTTATTACTTGCCAGCAGACATCTGAGATCATGACTCTTGATTTAAAATTTCATCTCATTATTTAATAAAACAAAACACACCACAACCATCCCACAAAGGAGTGCTGGAGTGTGCACAGTACCACCTTTTCTTCAAGTCTTTGCTCAGATGTCCCCTTATCAGAGAGCGTCTCTGATAAGCACCTTTTAAAACAGCACTAAACCCACCTCTCTCTATCCGGCTTCATTTTCTTGACAGTGCTCATCACTACATGTTAAAGATGTAGTCGTGTATCTGTTCTCTCTCTCATCGCTAGACCATGAACCCCGTGGGGAGCAAGGGCTCTCCTCCCATTTACAAAGCAAATAGAACAAGTGCCTGAGCGCATAATGAGCACTCAATACCTATCTGTTGAATAGGAAGACTCTGAGTTGAACTTGACTCTGGGTAGTGAAATGCTTAGTGCACTTGAAACCTACCTGCTGCGCCTTGGCCCAGAATACATCTTCCAAGTGAGTGGCGAACCCTTCACTGAGCCACTCTTCCGTCCAGTCTCGGGCCCCGATAGCCAGGCCAAACCAGGCGTGAGCAATTTCATGGCAGAGACGGGTCCCACAGAACTGGCTCATTCCAGTCAAGGTGCTCTGAGAGAGGAAGACGAGGTGTGGGCTGTGGATCATGGGGGAGAAAACACACACAGTCTTATCAGGGCCTGTCCTCATGGCCGCCCCCAGGGCTGGCTTTCTCAGCCCTGCCAGCCTGTTATTATCGTGTGCATGCTAGATCACGACCAATAGGCTCGCAGCTTAGGTGCTTTTAGAAATAAATAAAGTGGCAGTTTAAGTTCCTGGCAGAGGTTCAGGTTGCCTTTTCTGCCAAGCAGTCGTCTCCGTCATCAAGCAGCTATTACCTGTAATAAGCAACCTGCACCGAGGTTTTACACTGAAGAAATTACAAGGCGATGGAAGCACTTACCCTGAAATCTGGACTGTAAAAGAAGAGCAGGTGTGAGAATGTGAAGCCCATGCTGTCGAGACAGTGATCAAAGAAGACCCTTCAGCCAAAAAATCCGAGCAGCTTACAAACAAAGTGAGAAGTCATGCAGAAGGACGGGGAAAGCCGAGAAGAATGGAACCAAACATTTCCTAGTTCAGACTGAGGGTGGTTACAGAGGCAACAAACTCCTAGGTGCCATGAGTGGGTGAGGTTTCAAGAGACTCTGATAAAGGCTGAGTCTCTGTGAGGCCGAGATTTTCAAAGGTATCTTCTATCTACAGATGCTTATACGTTCCCATGACATAAAACTAAGCAGAGAGAGAAAGAAGGGAATTAACTCACTCAGGTGTGCAAATGGTTCCAGGGCTGGCACCAGCCTGGGAGATTTATCTAATCCCATTTCCCACACCTTCTTTTAAAACCCCAAATACCATGATTAGAATTGCGTTGATGGAATGGGAAGAAGGGAGGCTGAAGAGAGAAGAGGCAAAGGAAATACCTCCTGTGCTTCCACCTTTGGTATTTCTCATTTATACAGGACTCGTTTACCGTCTTATGAATGAAGAATTTGCTCGTTAAAAAAAAGCACTCTCGGGCTTCCCTGGTGGCGCAGTGGTTGAGAGTCCACCTGCCGATGTAGGGGACCCGGGTTCGTGCCCCGGTCCGGGAAGATCCCACATGCCGCGGAGCAGCTGGGCCCATGAGCCATGGCCGCTGGGGCTGTGCGTCCGGAGCCTGTGCTCCGCAACGGGAGAGGCCACAACAGTGAGAGGCCCGCGTACCGGGGGGGAAAAAAAAAAAAAAAGCACTCTCCTCCATCGATTGAACAAAAGCAGTCGTGAAACCTTCCAAATTAAGAAGCTGTACACACTGGTTCGTTCCTTTAAAAGCCATGCATTTGCCATCGTGTGGGCTCTGCACAAGCCAGGACGGCTTGCGGTTTTGTCCTCTGCCCCCATGGCGGCCAGTAGAGAAAACCCCACCTGTGCTTGCCTTGCACAGCATCGCCCGTTCAGCTCAGAGAGCTCAACTGAAAGCGCGGGAGTCCTGTGTGCCAAAATAGACAGCTTTCATGTGAAATAATAACAGGGCAGGCGCGCAAATGAGAAGGTGTCAGCCAGGATCCCGGCAGAGCCCACCAGAAACGCCAGGAATTAGAAGTGTAGTTGGGGCATTTAGGATACAAAGGTGCCATGCAGTATGCAAACAACAGAAGTTCAGAGCACTAACTCAGGAAAAAAAAAAAAAAGGAAGGAAGGAAGGCAGACAGGAAGGAAAGGGAAAAGGGTGAGAGGGAGGGAAGGAGGGAGGGAGGAAACAGAGGCCCAGGAGCTAAACTTCCTCTTCCTGAGAAAGTGGCCCCATGGAGAAGACAAACTGCAAAACCTGGCATTTTCAAGTAAATAACCCTTTGCTCTGGCATGTGCAGCGCTGCAAAGAAAAGCCACAGAAATGTACCAAGTAAATAACATTCCAGACATACTGCTGGCAGCACTTCACCCTTTTGGGTAAAGCAAAACAGAAGCAACTTCGGGCTTTGTAAACAGGCTCACAGACAGCCTGCGCTGGAAAGGTCTTCTGGCCAGAGACCCAGACGGTGCACACGCAGTTACAGAGACGGTACAGCTGAGCAGACCCCGCAGCCCAAGAGATGTACACACGCCGATGACTGTGACATGGCAGCGAGACTGTTCACGAAGAAAAAGCCTGCCCTGTCCACGGCGACCTGCTCGCTGCTTTGTCCCAGCGTGGAAGCCGAGCCAGGCTCTTTTATGCAAATATCAAAGTCCGCAAGGGCCTGAAGGAAGGCCCAAAACCAGCTGTGTGTGTGGGGGGGGGATGGCATTTCATTTTCCTGTCCTGTAGTTTTTCCCCTTCAACAGTCTTTGTTGTCTCCACCAGACCTCCTTCCCCACCTGTCAGTACTCTGGAGATACCACTCTGGCCTTGGCTGGGCTCAGGACAGACCCTGGCATTGCTGGAATGGTGCCTGAATTCCCACTTCCCATCCTCAATACTTTCTTCCTAGCCAGGGAGAAATGTATTTCCTCCTGTCTTCTGAGAAAGACCAAAGCTTAAACTTCCTCCTAGATCGGAGGATGTGCATTTCACTTGATATAAATGACCCTGTTATCAGTGGAAAACATGACCTTCTCCCTGAAAAGCAATTTTCCAGTTGAGAACCAGACCCCAAATCCTCCTGCAGCGGAGTTTGTCGTCTAAGGTTGGGTTTTACCTGTGGATAATAGCTTCTATGAGTGAAATAGGTTCTTTCTTAAACTGAATTAAAAACACAGAGTAAGGTTTTGATAACCTTTCTCAAGGGTTGTTAACAAAATTCTGGCATAAAAGGACCAGTAGAATTTTTTTTTCTTGGAGAATTTCTTCCTTTCCTTTTGAACCTAAGTGTCAGGATTTTTCATGTTAAGTAGAATTTTTAAACTGCTTTTTCCAACAATGAATGAGGAAAGGTATAATGCTCTTAAACTCACTTCAAGGAATAATATTAAATATTCTTCTACCAGCAGATAATCTCCTTCATGCCCACCTTCAAAACAAAATAAATGTTTAGAATTTTCTACTCCTACCTTACACTTGATTTATAAGTTTTACCCCTGGGTTCCTCACACTTTCTGAGTTCTCAGAATCTTATTCATGGTCCTAATCAGCCAGCGGGACACCAGCCTTCATTCTGACAGGCCCTATTTGAAAACAGGTTTTCTTTTTTCTTCTTCCTTTTTCCCCTGAATGGGCCTGTGTCAACTGCCTCTACAAATGCCAAATTGTTGATTCATCATCGTTACAGAGGACGGAAGATAATCACTTCAATGACATCTTCATCCTAAAGAAGGTTTTTGGTTTTGGTTTTGGTTTTTTTTTTTTTTTCAAATCACAGAGTTGATCATTTTTCCCAAATAAGTGATGGGTGGGAAAGTAATATTTTCAACTCTCAAAAAGTACAAGCCCTCTTGTTTTGTATTCTCCATCATAAATTCTCTTTCACTGCAAGTGATCTAGGAGGCCAGCAGGGCAGAGCAGGGGGTAGGCAGAGCGACAGCAGGACACGTGTTCTCCTTCTTTCCCAGGAGACCACCAGCAGCGGGGCTGCCTCCCGACAAAGGCCACGTGGTACTGTCTGTCTGCCGCCTTGCCCCTCAAGATTAAAAATATCATTTCTGGTCTGAAAACAGTTTCCCAAGATTGTTCCTAAAAGCTACCTCCCCACCCAGATTAGAAGGCTGTGTCAGTTCATTTAAAACATGCTTCTAGCAGAGGAGGAAGGAGTGCCTTCATTACGCGGGAGCTGCTCCAATCCTTCGGGAGGAATTCAATTTGGAGCGGAAATGGGGAATTTCATCAGATCTTAAGCAGGGGCTGGAGTGTGATTTATTTCTGCTTTGTCCAGGGAGACGTGACCAGCGTGGCCCACCTTGCTGCTCAGGGAGAGGTACAGCACTGGGGGCTCCAGCCCTGCCGGCTGCAGGGGGACCAGGAGGACAGGAAATTGCTTTTGGTTAAGGACAAGAAGAGCTCCAGGCCACCCCTCCATTACACTGGAGTAGATCCCAACTCCCCTCAGGGGGAGCAGATTCACTTTTTGTACAGATTCTTGGAGGTTTGTCCAGGAAACAGACACATATTCTTCAAGTTTGAACTTCTTATGGGTTCAAAGTTTTTCACAATCTCAACATGTGGAGCCCAATAGCCCATTAGAGAGAGGAAAGAAGAACAAAGAAAGAGGGGAACTCAGGCTCCTGTACTTTCAGACTTAAACTGGAGAGTTCTAAGGGCCTCATAATCATGTGAAAGCAACTTTTACTTGCATGACTTAATTACTTGCAAATTTAATTTGGATGACTGAAAGGTAGACTCATAGTAGTATGGGGCAATCTGAAAGGGAGGACAAATCGTAGTTAGCTGTCCCTTAGACTCAGGACATGCTTTCTCTTCCTCAGTAAGGTGTGATGTGATTTGTGCCAGTACCTCATTCGGTGCATTTACAAACCAAATGCTCGGCTCCGGCCCCTTCACCTGTGCAATGAAATCCCTTAGCCCCGCTCTCCGATGCAGTCTAAGGTAGGGGACGTGTCTGTTGTCCCAAAGGCAAAGGGATGGCCCAGGTGACCTGGAGGGCCTCTGCTCCCCTCTGGCTCTGAGACTGCTCAGCGGAGACTAGTAACCTTCCCTTTGCTCCATCAGGCATCCCGCGCTGTGGCCACATGTTGTAGTCTTGAACTGGCGCCTTAGGAGATATGGGGATATGGGCCTTTCGGTAGCCTGAGGGGGAAACCAGATCTAAAAACTGGAAGAAAACTCACTACAGCGGATCAACACAAGGATCTAGGTTTGAGAGAAAAAGCTAATGTTAGTTAGTGTATGTTTTCCTTTAAAAATTCTAAATAGTGGGACTTCCCTGGCGATCCAGTGGTTAGGACTCCGCGCTTCCAACTGCAGGGGGCCCAGGTCGGATCCCTGGTCAGGGAACTAAGATCCGGCAGACCACGCAGCGTGGCCAAAAAATAAAAAATTTAAAAATAAAAATTCTAAATAGCAAAGAGGCAGTAAAACATCTACTCACTTATCTAAATGAATTTTGGCTAAAACTGCCAACATGACTATAGCAGAGAGTGACTGAGGGGAAGCCCCAGGGCCAGAGACTTCTACCAGAAACA